TTAAGTTTAGCTGATTAGGAAAGGGAAAGAAAAAAAATCATGCCTTCCGAGGGAACCTTTGTACCAATAGCACACACTTTGAGAAACTGGTTTAACCAACCACTTCTGCATACCCTAAAAATCCTGACTTCCCTTGGGTGCAGCGGTACTCTTTATTAGTCCCCTTGGCCACCAGCTCTATAGACTCCACCTACTGAGCAAACACTTTGACGAGACACAAGAACAGGACCCGCTTGGCTATACCTAAATCTTGCATGTGGCTACATTTACAACTGGAACTAGGTCCAAGAAAAGCATCCATTTCTCTCTGCTTTTTTAACGAGTGACTCATTTTGAATTAGATGGTCATGTTTCCAGTCCGATCTTCATCTTACTCTTCAACAATGCTCCCATGTGTCAGGAAAACACTGCTGAAAATCCTTACTCTTGTAATAAAATCCTTCGTTACTTGCTCTATTTTTCCATAAATTAAAATCTTAATACCTGTTCTCCCCATCTCTGACTGACTCCAGTGAATTAAAATCCTATCACTTGAACTCTAGGTATAAGATCTGTAATTTGTCCACGTATGCCCTAAACTCATGCTAGCGTTATACTTTCTCACTATCAGATTTTACTTCTTTCAAGTTTCCCCCTTTCTCTGTGAGATTCCACTGCTTGCAGCTTTGTGTACTGAAAGTATGAAGTGGTGAAAAGAGATCTTCCCATCCCTCAGGTAGTCTAATCAAGCACTAGATTAACACATTCTGACAAAAGCAATTTAGGCAACTACTTCAAAAAACTATTTCAGAGATTGAGAACAGGCAAGCAACTTGGTTTTGTCACCCCACAGTGCTATCCTATCCTGAGTTTACTGTGGCGTACTATGCCCAGTTCTTACAGCAAATTCTTAGAAACGCCAGTAGAATACGGCCACAATTCAGGAATAAAGATCCGTCCTTTTAGCCATCTCTTTGGAAGCCTTTGGTGGCTGAAGAGGTTAGGACTGTACCTGCAACTCCATTACATTAAACTGAAATAGCAAAATTCTGGATGCATCTTTGGGACACCTCATCGACAAGTCACAAGCAAAAGGAATTCCTGCATTAGCTTCTATTTCCGTTAAGCCTGATAAACTCTGTTTTTCCCTGCAACACGATACCTTATCACTCCTGACTTGGGTAAAGCTTAAAGACTACCTTGACCAAAGAAGCCAGCTTCCAACAACACACAAGCTTTCTAAGAACACTACCAAACTAGACCTCAGTTCTGCATGCCATCCCAAACAAAACACAAAATATTATCCAACTTAAGGTCCAAGGTAAAAAGGTCAAAAGTCACAATGCAACAGTCACAATGCCAGTCAATGCCAAAAGGCTACAATGCCAAGGAAGCGAGGAGGATAGAGGCAAACAGCATAAAGGCTGCCAATTCCTGAAACTGCAAGACATCTGTCAAAAGGAAATCAAGGGCTATACTAGGGAATGAATCACATCACACAGATACGAGAGAAGGAAAAATAAAAGCCACCAACACCAAGCCAGAATTGCAATAAGATACAGAAAGGAATCACTCCAAACTAGGGAGTTACTCAAATCCCAGGATCCATCATCAACCAGGCACCTGAAACACGAACATCAGCAAAATGAAGATGACGCTTACATACTTCACCTTGCCTCCAGCTGCTGTTCCAGAACATATTATGAATCAAGTGAAGGAGGAGAAGAAAATCCCTTTTGGGCCCTTACAGATGGCCAGCAGAAGGACTAAAGCAAGGGACCAGTAGAACACAGCGCATACGAAGATATCGGTAATCACAGCAGCTGGCAGAGACTGAGCTAATACTGTGTAGTCAGATTTTATTTGCACTTTGTCAATACCAAAACACATGCAGACATACTTCCCCCACCCCAGTGATCTACAAACAGCCTCCACGGTTAAATGAAAATGTTTTCTTACCATTTCCTATCCTCTCTTGCTCACAGACATAAACTTGAACTTGTTATTGAAGTGCAGTTGTAATGTTCCCCCTTGAAACTATGCAAAATATCTACTACAAATTTCCACATGCACTGACAAAAGGCCAGGCCTGGGCCTTAAAATCATTGTTTATATCTCATCATGAACACTTTCTGAGATCAAGTGGCCTGAGCACAGCTCTGTTCTACCTTACAGTGAAGGTATCCGATTTACCTATAAACACAAGAAAAGGGCTAAGACTGCAAGGGAAGATGTAAACAGGATGGAGAAGAAACACTTATTTAGCTCATCTACATCCTTTCACTACGCAAAAACTTTGTGTTTATTCAAATAAGATGTTTTTGTTAGAAAAACAAAGCGGAACTTCTCATTTTGGTACAACATTTACCACTATACCTGTTTTTCAGTTTTTAAAAAAAAAACAAACCGAAATCCAACCCTAACACCCTCAAAAGCCATTTGGGACATCGCAAATACGACTGCTTGTCACACTTGAACTCTAGATAGCTATTCCAATTTTAAAATCTGCATATTTGTATGAAAATAGCATGGTAACTCACTAACCCTCACATTTTCTTCTGGGAAATTAAAAAATCCTTAAAACCAGGATGATTACATCCATTTTCCTACAGCAAAAACAGTTGGGATTTGGGTTTTACTGGATTTTTTTTCAGATTATAGTGACCTGTTACATTGCGTGGATATTTTATTGCTGAAGAACAGTTAGATGAGGCAAGTAGAGATGTCACAAATACAGATGAAAAAAATAAAGAAATGCAGGCAAATACTATGGCCAGGCACCCATTCTATCTTTATGTGATGACACCAAATCTGTTCCTATGCACTAATCAATTAGAAAACAGCTACATTTAATCTCAGGCTTAAATTACTAAATTAAACATCTTTAGTGTATTTTACTTAGCTCTAGTAGTAAACCAGCAAATTCATTTTAAAATATTTTCAGGGCTAAATAAATTAAAGTCTTATTAAAAATTGAATACAGTAGAACTATAATAAACCAGGTAGGAATTTCATGACCCGACAAACAAAAGAATGATCCTGTTGCTAATAGGTGAACAGGTTTTCCTGAAATAAAACTGCAAGCCAAGTTATCAGCCAGTTTCTTGCTCTAAGTGAATGCTTGGGTGTACTGACAAAAAGCTTTGGGCTTTTCATTTTTAGAACAGGTTCTCAAATATAGTAGGCATTTAGTCATGCACTTCTTCCTTTAAACTCTGCCTGTGGTTTATCACCTCATCTTTCTCAGCCAATTCGGAAACAGACTGGAAACAGCTCAGTAACATTTCTGCACTTGAGTCATTCATTAAGATCTTCCTTTTGCCAGAGCTGCTTGCCACATGCGGTTATTAAGTCTTTTATTTCCCCTTGTTACATTCTGAAACTTGTTCAGCAATTTGTCTTGCATGTTTGGCTGCCCTTCAAACATACACCCGTGTCTGTGTTTAACAGACAGTTAAGTAAACAGAAGAACTGCATTCTCCTTAAAAGAAAAAAAGAAGAGATGAGAGGAAGGGATACGATGCTCTGCACAACCGCGAGTTCCAGGTGTTGGAAAGAGTTTAGCCTCCAGGCGCAGTGCTCTGGGGTCTCCTGCCTGCAGGCACAGCAAAGCCACCCAGTAACAAGTCAAGCAGAGGACCCAGACTTGGCATTACCAGGGTGAGCAGGCTGGCCAGATGTCACATCACACGGCGTCGGGCGGCTCACCTCCCTAAGAATCGAGGCACCCTTTCTCTTTATTAACAACCACAGAGAAGAACAACGACCTTCGCGATGGCGAGGTCCCTAAATACCCTTGGTGATGGTGAGGTCCCTAAATATGATGGCGAGGTCCCTAAATAACCTCGATCCTGGAGCACCCTTGGTGAATGCGAGGTCCCCAAATACCCTTGGTGGTGGCGAGGTCCCGAAGCATCCCTTCCTCACCGCACCCTCCTTTCCCCACGCACCCCCATCCCAACGCCCCGGGCCCCCCCTCCCTGAGGCGCTGACCC